TGGGAACCTCTAAGCATCAGTTTTCCGCTTTTTTCTTCAAACTCAGCAGGTTGTTCACTGACTGGTTTCCAGTAGTACTCTGCACCCTAATGGAGGCACACCACCAGCCCAGCTGCCTGTTGTAAATTGACTTTTTCAGGCAGTCACACTGGGGGGGCTGGGAGCTGTGCTGATCAGATCTGCTTTATTTACAAGCATCCATTTCTGTTTTTCAAAGTTGTTGTGAAGGGAGTGCAGCCTTTTAATGGGTCTTTTTTCTTTTTCCTTTCTTGTATTTTCTGCTTCATTGGTTTTAAAGAAGATGCCATATGGAAGTACCATTCATTGCTCATTGCAACTGGGTTTACAACTAGAGCATTTAGTCATGGGCTGATCAGGGATTGAGAGTGTGGATAATTCCTGATCTTTTTACTAAGGCCGTATACTGATCCTGTAGAGAAATAAATACAATTTTCTTTAAAAAAAAAAAAAAAAAAGACAGATTACAGGTAGTAACTATAGTAACAGAGCACTAAAGGGAAAAAACGGTTCAGAGAAACTCTACAAGCTATTGGCAAGCCAAGACGGTGTCTCATGAAAACAGCACAGACTGTCAGAATCCTTCCAGCATGTGAGATTATTTACTTTTTCGTCTGTGAAGATTTACATCTAGTCAGCAACCATAATAAGCCTATCCTAAGATGCTGCAACAGCAATCTGACAAAGAGTAAAGAAAACATGGAACAAGTATAGTTAGTCAATTCTCATTCTCAAGATCAGAACTGGAGTTTAACCATTTAATCCCTTGACAAGGTTCGGCTAAACAGAAAGAAAACGACTGAACAGATTAATGCCAAATCAGAAAAGCTGAGGGCTAGATTTGATCCTTTTTATTGATTTCCCTTTCCTTCACTTTGCTGATACTGCGATCCGACTTGAAACAGAGAAGCATTTCAATGATTTAAAGCATAAAATTGCAGCTGCAGCTTGCTGATAAATGTGTTTTCCATCCTGTTTCTATATGGTGACTGTCTGGTGTTAAGACAGCAAAGGATGCAGAGAGGACACCTGACAGACACTATACACCAAAATAAAGACCAAATAAAACATTATATATGATACTGAACTGCATGTTCTTACAAAACAGGCTATCTGGTAACTTTAAACTGCTGTTGTCTGGGACAAACGCTACTTGTGATATTTGAATAAACGTCTCCTAAAATAGCTTCATTCAGTGACTGGAGCGCAGCTCCAAACTATTTCTTTATCAGAGAAACATGCAAAAGACTGTAACGTCCTAACTTGGGGCCCTGAAACATAACTACAATCCTATATGTACACTATTAACTCCAAACAATTGGAAAGATGAACTTAATTTAACATTCATTCAGTCTTTAATAGTATTTGTGCAGTCATCCGCATGCAAGGAACACTCTATTTTGCCATAACCTTTCCATTATTTAGGTTCAGTGCTTATCATCATGTTTTATTCATCAGTTTTGTGACACGCAGACTCTATGTGAAGACCACAGGGGCTGGAAATGTGCATCATGAACTAACAAAGAAAAGAGAAAATGTGCCTCTTGTCCTTGGCAGAGGTGTATAGAGCAATACTTTGAAAAAACAAAGAAATATCACTTGTTTGAGAGTACCTCCTGAAATTAATGAAGGGCCATTCAATTTCCATAATGACAGCAGACACACAAAAAGAATCTACCCTTTACAGGGACATTTCATGCAGTGATTTGAGAAGGATTTGCTAAGGAGATGACAGCACAACCCCAATGAGCTAAACACAGTGAGATGAAGTTTGAGTGGCCAAGTGCCTCCATTAGTTCTTCTGGCAAAAGCAAAGCTTAATCTCCTGTCAGCTCCCCTCAAGCTACTCTCCCAGGACTCAGAGTGCTCTCACCCATCCATCACCTCAGCGGGGACCAACGGGAGACTCCCCAAAGGAGCGAGGATCAAAGCAATTTGCATCCACACCGAAACCATCAAGGCCCAACAATCCCACAGTGACACTCTCCATTTCATTATATCACAACTGTCACCCAAATGAAATGCAAAATGTCATGGAGCGGCAATTACAGTTTTCTTCAAAAGAGCATTTTAACTTAGTTAAAAGCTAAAATGCTAATTACAATGTTCCAAAGGCTAGCCTGTATACCTACCTCCCATGTCATAAAAAAGGAATTATCCACATGGCTGTTTCAACACTCAACATCAAGCAAAGACTTCAAATCCGTTTATGAATTTGTCTGAAATGTTCCCTCGACCCCCTGACTCCCCAATCAATCAATCAATCCAACTGAAGTGCATGACATTTCCAAACAAAAGTAGATTTTCAGTGTACTTCAAATGAGTCAAATACAAGCTGCTGCAGCAGCACAGCACATTGCCGTTCGTCACAAGTCAAAATGAAGTCTTGTGTGTTAGGCTTTGATGATGAGCTTGCACATAGAAACCAGGTAGTTAGCTGCTCGACTAATCTGTGATGGATGAAACAAGAAAGCCATATATCAAGAAAAAAAAAAAAAGGGCAACATTGAGACTTATTCACATGTCTCATGGGACATTATGTGAGAATCTAATCAACAACTAAGCACAGTTAAAGGTCACGGACGCAAGACGGTGCAGCTGTGTAGTGCCATCACAAGAGTAGCTTATGACTGAACACTGTAGACAAACACGGAGAAGAGAGCTGAACAACAGGGGTCTGCAGCAGAATGATTTTAGCTTTCATGCTGCCAAGTTATTACAAAGATTATAATTCACAGCCACATAATTTCCAATCCTGAATAATAGCACATTCAAACTTGACACTCGTCCACCATTCATAGTTCATTTCCCAAACGTTAAATCCAACTAAGACGAGGAATTAGAGCTCCGAAATCCCCTTATCCCACCACTCAGAGTGATATCTATATGGGTTCCTACTGCACCGGGGCCAAAAGAATGGAGCCAAGCCATAAACAACCACCTGGTTGCTAACTGCATTCACACTCAATTAAATATCAGTCTGGAATACAGGAGAGACTGAGTGCTAATATACGAACACAGGAACAGAGCTGCTGTTATTATGCGCAGATCCATTATTCTCAATCTTCCTTTTATTTGATAATCTATTTGGCGAGCGTCTCAGAATATTTCTGTGTTTATGAATTTGGCACTGCTGGGTTTTCCACGAATGGTTATTACCAAGCACAAATGGTTTTCCCTCGTGGATAGCTGCAACATGGGTTGCTGTGACTTGCATTTGTTAGGGCCTTTCCCACTTGTTTGTGCTTTAGTAATGAGGAAAGAGTCTGGAACATGTTGTATATCAATTAGACCATCAAAGCTGGTGGGCATTTATGGCGACGCCCTTTAACCTCAGGGTGAAGGAGCAAATCTTTGTTTTTGTCAAAAGAAATGGGTCCAAACAGATGCTGAAACACGAACTTTCAAAGCTGTTCTCTTCATGAAGATGTCGAAACACATTAATAATGTATTCACTTTGGTTTTAAATCAATTACAGCAATAAAAAAAGAGATAGGAGCAAAGCATTTTCATACATTTCTGATTACGCTTAGAAAACGTTTCTTGCTTTGCTCAAATAAGACATTTCCAGGACGCTTAAGGTGCACTTTTCGAGACATTTTTCCACTCCCTCCATTGAACAGCTTCAAAAGATTTCTACCGTGAATCCCAAGGGAACCAGTTAATCCTGATCTTCTCCACAAGCAAAGGGATCATCTCAATATAAATCAGACAGGGCTTTTGATCAAAGTATTCAATCAGTCTTAAATGCATGGAGCCACACGGAGCCTCACTGCGAACAAGGTCAACATCTTGGTTGTTCTCAAGCTCAAAGGAGTTGAAGAAAACAGGATGTGCCAGAATATTTCTCTAGTAAAGACTTATTAAGAGCTATTAGGCTCAAAGGGGATCACCAAAGTAAGAGCTCCAACATATTACATCGAGTAAACACGTACAACCTGAAGAATGAGGGTATTAGTGCCCATCGAAACTCTGGTGTGACCTTTTTTAGACCACACTTGACTTTCTTCCATTGTTTACTTAAATTGGGGGCCCCTTACAGAGTTTATCAGTCTAGGATGTAAACAGTTTGGTAAATCTTCAGCTAGGCCTTAAAGCCCTCTCTGCATAACTAACCAAAAACATGAACACACATGCACAAATATGCGTTCCAACTAAAAGATTGTTAATAATGACACACCTTAAAAATGAGTCAAATACAGTTCTTAGGTATTTGCTTAATGATCAGCCCCACTTTGGGGAAGCTTTAATGCCAGGGTGATCAATGTCAGAGTATTGCTTCAATTATTCACATATTAATTCGCTCAGCACCACCACCCACTCCAAAACACAAACTCCCAGAAGAATTGGTTTCAGTGTGACAGAGAGTTAAACGTCACCATGAGTCATTCTTCTGAAAATATGATTATTCGACAAGGAAACTACAAAACAAAGCCCCCAATGTGTCATTCGGAGATTAAAATGTGGGAATTAAAATCTATCCTAATTATATTTAATTATTGTAAGTACTAATTATTTACTATTTTAATAAATCAACTAACAGGCAGGCGCAGAGGATAATATGTTTCAATTATCATTCCAGTGCACTCTGTGTCTCTGCACTCTGCCATTACGATGAAATATTGGAAAAACTTAAAGGGCTGCTGGCCTACATGGCTCGCATTTATCGCCATCTGCCTGCTGCCGGGGTAAGTTCATTTTTTGGCAACTAAATAAGTATTCTGCAGCCGTTTTGGATTCAAAGGCAGACACCACTTTCCATTTTTTTTCCTCACTCCTGTCGCACATTTTGTTGCAAAACATAAGCCATGCAGTCTTATCAATCCACACATTCGTGCATTTGTCTAATCAAGTCTGTCATTACGGGAACATCATGCATCTCTCTCACGCACACACACACACACACACACACACAGAAAGCAGGGAGCTAATGATAAAATAAGGCAGACGATTCACTGCTGAAGTCTATTTCTACGGCTTACCTTGAATGTTCAGCGCCAACAGGAGCGCCCATATCCCCACATACACCGCCATGGCACCTCAACTATCCGGATCTGGTCTGATAACCTGAGAGTAGATGGATAGTGCTCACTCGACACAACACAGACCCCGCATGCAACTTCTGGAAATCCCACTTCGGTCCAAACTAGTCTACCTCCCTTACACAGCAGTGGGAGACTTTCGCAAAACTAGAGGATTGGTGTTGCGCTTCTCCGTGCCAAAGCATCAATTTCTCGTCTGCGGCGATTCCCTGTCTGCCAGAGAGAGTTTGCACTAAGGAGAACCTGGCTTGGTCCCCAAAGCAAGATCCAAGCAGCTGTAGAATTGCTGTTTAGGCGTAGAAGTGCTTTACAAAATAGCAGGCAAGAACAGAAAGGAGCGCTGGGTTCTTATCAAAGAAGCTCTTCCAGTTTAACCATATAGCCTTTGTTGCTCCATCCACCGCAGCGCCTGCTGAACTCTCTCTCTCCCCCCCCCTCCAGTATTGTGGAACTGAGGTAAAGTGGGCGGGAGGTCCTCGATCGATGCTCTACTGGGAAGTTTCCAACACTTAAGAGTTCCTCCGAGGCAATGTTGTTTCTCTTTCCACTTCCTTTGCAAAACTAGCACAACACCTTGCAGATTAGTGGGAATGGTCCCTGTTTTAGTTCCGTATGTCCCGGTTCTCCCGGTGTGCAGCCACGGCCAGCTTTCAGAAATCAGCACACCAGGCCGGCGAAGTTGTTGCAACTCCAGAAATGGTGGGATGCGCCCCCTTTTCTGGTTCTTTTTTGGATGAAATACAGTGTGGCTTTATCCTGCTGCGCGTACCGCCCCGCTGATCTGCCACCACAGTATGTTGCTGACTATCGCTGACGCTTTGGGAGAGAGATCGGGATCGGATGACGTTGTGCAAGGGAGGAGCTTGGATTGTCCTGCAAAAAGCATCGCCTGGCATACTGCAGCAGGCAAGTAGCTCCTACTCGGGGTGCTCTCAACTTTTTTTGCATGCCATGTGGTCTCATATATGGCACGATTGGAGCAGGCGTTAAAAATGTTCGCAGAGGAGTAAAAAATACAACTGCTGGAGGATAGATCTGTCGAAAAGACTGAGTGGGGATGTGGGAAGACAATGGCACAACCCGTATAAGTATACAAAAGTGGAATAATCCAGTGCACGCACTACTCACATATTGGAATCCCCTTAGGGCCAACGGAGCCACTGAAACTATTGACACTTGGCGAGGCGTCTGACAGGAAAAGAGAAATGAGAATCAAAATAAAATATTTCAGTGAATACATGGCCTACATATTAAAACTATTTCTTAGCTCATAGTATCGAGGGAGCCAGAGAATTCAGTCAGTGAAATTAACAGCCAAATGAATCCTATTTCTGTCTTTGTTATTGTCTGTTTTGCGTGGTCTAGCAGACGGAAACAATCCAGTATCAAAATCAAATTTGATTTATTTCCAGTGGCCAAAGGTGAAGCACATATTTTGAGGCTCATCTCATAAGGCAAAGCCCAATAACACTTACCCGTCAATTATTACACTTTCAACTTCAAATTAATTAGATAATTGAGAACGTATATTATTTTTACAAGTGGGGAATACCCATGAATCTCCTCAGTGACGCCTACAGAAACCCCAGACCTCAAGTAAACCACAATTTAAAAAAAAAAATAAGCTGGGGCAGTGAAAGCTGAATTATGATCCAAAGTTATCCATGCATACACTGCTAGTGAGGTAATGGCTCCTAAATTAAAAACAGAGGAAGTGACAGTGGAGGAATCTGATTTTACTGCAAAAAAGGACTCACCATGACTCTGTGTGTCTGGTGGGGTGGGGGTAGAGAGCTAGTTTATATCATGAAGCAACTGTGAGAGCTGACTAACCACACTCAGTAAACCTTTTCCCTTCCGTCTTCCATACTTTCTCATCCTACTCTCAAGAGCAACCAAACAGGAAGGTACTGGCTGTAAATGATTTTGGGGATGAATGTGATAACACTTCCCTCTTGTGGACAGAAGGTCTTTAGATAATTACAACAGATCAGGAGTAACATGGTTAGAATTGCAGATTCGACTGTGTTGTTTGAAGGGTGCTGGTTTGCATGTGGTCCAAATCCTGTCTTTGATCGTGATCTAAGATCAGCTCCACAGAATAATCTGCAGAACAGCAAGAGAAATTGTCTGGCACGACAAAAGAATACCGAGCCAACTGCTTATTAGGGTCAGAGTGGTGGCGACATTATTCATTCTGTATAAAATGGAAAACTACAAACAGCAAAAACTATTCTCTCTAGGTGTACAGTGTGCAGTTTATATACATGCCTGCAGTTCTGTTAGATGTAATAAGAGTAAGACAAGGCATTTCCACAGGGAGCATGCAGATAAACTAAAAAGTTGACATTCTGTTTCGTCAAATAGAAAGAAAAACAAAAGACTCGCTGCTAAAAATTCTGCACACATTTCCTGTGGTAATGGTTTTTACAAAATGTAATCATGCCATCAGAATGTACTGTGTAGTTTGCAGCTAAAATGTTTCGCTGACTATTGATGAGGCACATACTGAAGGTGGAAATTCATGGGTATCACACGAGATAGCAGGAGTATTTTCCAGGGTTATGAATAAAACATGCAATATGAATTAACAATGTCAATTTAACATTACATTTTACCATTGGGAAGATAATCATTTAACTTAATATACCTTGAAAGGTCAGAGCAGCAGGAGAAGCCTGGAGGTATACTGTAGGAATTAGTCTAAATCTGATAGACCTGGAAAATCTGGATCTGGAAGGGAACATAAAATCCTTCCCTTCAAGGCCAACTACCTTAACTTTGCCCTTGAGCAAGGCATTTCATTACTGCAGGTGGCTAAACTTGCCAGCTTGAGTGTTTGTAGCTGTGTGAGTCGAAACTCAGCTGTCAGAAAGCTTCCACACTTGGAACTTCCTACAAGAGATAACAGTTTAAAAAAAGCAACAAAAAAACCTCCGGATTTGCCCCTTGCCTTTGGTGCATTAACTCCGATGCCCCCTTCATCGAGCGGCCGAGGTGATTGATTTACAGGCAAGCTGATGAAATTTGATAAGCTTATTCTGAACTACTGCTTGTGTCAGAGCTCAAGGCGAGGTTTGAGCTGCTGTCGAGACTTAGGAACTGCCCTGCATAATAATTTATGTATGGAGCTGAATCAGAAAAAGTAGCGATGGCTAAAGTACTGAGTAGGTCCAACAAAGGTAACAAGGAAAAAGTTTCTCCACCAAATAAATGGTGATTTGTTTGACTACAGAGACAAAATAATTGACATTATCACAGAATTTTAAAATTGGACATATATTGAGAGGCAGTGATTAATTCAGCTGGACTTTCCGATAAAATTTTCAGATTTAAATTTCACAAGGGTATATAAATGGACAATAGTTCTTAAAACTTGCATGTAAACAATGTAGGTAGTTGGTCCTTTATAGGAGTGTGCATTCTGTGAATTTTGGGCTGATACCAACAGCCAGTGTGGCCACTAGAAGATGCTGATAGTGGTAGTTTTCAACCATAGATGTTAGTCAGTTCAATCGTAGTTGCCAATATGTCAGAGCAGTCAATACCAGTGTTCAGTATTGGTGCGTCCCTAAGGTTTTGTTTCTTTTATGTGTTTTTTCTCAGTATCTTTGTTATCCTTTTTCAGTGTTTACCTTTATTTAAAAGTTTTTAGAAATGACTTAAAGACCCCAAAATTCGTATTCATAATGCTATGGATCAGAATTTGAGGTAAAAACATTCATTTAACTCATAACCACCCAATGATATTCAATTTGCCCCAATTTCAAATTTAAAACCATTGAAAAAGAAATCATTCACTTACATTGTGCCACAGATCAGTACACTATGCACAGGGTGTGTTGCATTTATTTAATGCTTCAATCCCAAATACTGTCGGCACCTCAGGAAGTGATGCAAACACTGATTTATACAGCAAGACATGTGCCGTATTCGTGACCTAATGTAGGCTGTCACAAACTTGCAATTGTGAGCACGAAAAAATATGGCAGCGCATTGGCAATGTGCTGATGAGCAAAACAGAATCCAGGTTTTCTGCAGTCTGTAATAGCATGAAATCTGCATTGGGTCCGACCCAAGTCAGCTTCCCTGGAGAGCAGACAAGTCTTTTGATCCAAAGCTGTTAGTTTGCCTGGCCTGAAAAAAACATCTGATGGAGACATTTTTGCCTAGAAGCAGTCTGAACAAAGGCAAATCTACAGTGCTGCTTTAACATGTGGAAAACTTACATTATATTGTCAAGTAGGATCCGCATGCAGCCACACAGGCAGGTATTCAGGCTGAATACAGCATACTAACATCTGGAAATAAAAAACGCACCTGCTAGGCATCCGTTAACTGATTTCCTTCAAGATTTAATACTGTTCAATTATATAAAAAAGAAGATTATTGATGCATTGCATGATAAAATACTTGAGGAAATAATGACATCAAATCGACATTCTCTAAGCAGAGATGTCCAGGTGGGTATGTTGATAGACAGGTCATAGTGATTATAAATCATTTGTATGTATGTGTATAAGGAAAAAAAGGCAACTTCCAGAAATCTGTGCTACAAATAGAAAGAAAATACACATAGAACAACTCACTAGTTGAACTTGCTTAAAATATAATTCATACATGACCATAATAGAAAGTTTATATTCATGTGCTCTAAAAATGTCACACACCAACACAACATGAAATAAAACATAAGAGGAGAAAAGCTAGCAATGGACATATGAGGCAGCTTATATGTTTTAGAAAAGGTGGGTCAATCTTATAATGTCTTTATTGACAATGCTTCATCTAGTTCTTCAAATATAAACCAGTGGGAGGAGAAAAAGCATTCTCTGGTATGACAAGCATGTAATCCAAATCACTGGGAAAAAAAGCCTTGAAGACTTTAGTTCTCAGCTGAGAAGCCCAGAGAATATCAAACAAGTTTTCCGATATGAAATATGAAGTTAAAGCTGAGATATTTACTAATATGTTTTATGGAGGTCAAAGGAAATGGGACAAAATAAAATCCCAATAGAGAGAAAAAGGGGCATTACAAGATTTTTCAGAGGAATAGAAACTATAGCTCCTAATACCAACCAAAGTTTTCATTCCTATGAAAAATATGGTGAGTTTTCTTTATCAAGCTAAACTCAGTATTCTTCCATGAGGTTGTAAATGTGGCAAGCTTTACCAAAAAACATACAAACAAAAAAAGACTATCCAAAGAAAACAACCAGCCTACAGCATTTCATATTGTGTGTGCCGAGCAGGTATTCAGCCTTTTATTTATGAATCGCGATGTCTTCCATTTACTAGACAAGAAAGGCTGCTGTAATTGTGCACGTGAATTTGCCAATGTGTCCACAGAAAATATAGACTTTGGATTATTCTTCCCTTCAGGGAACATTTAGGAAAATGCCAGCGTTTCCAGCTTAAAGAAGAAATCAATCTCGAACAAAGAAGGCAAATTCATATCCTCTCTCTCACCTAAGATGAGTGAATAGCTGGCAAATGGTAAATGGCAAAACAATGTATCCTGTCACAGACACAAAGTAGAGTGGAAATTATACTTTCAATTGGGTTTCCGAAGCAAACACTTGATTTTTAATACTAATATCCTACATATTACTTACTCTAAAACAATATTTATATATATATATTAAATGATTCTAACTTTAAACAACCACAATCCGGTCCACATTTGTCCCTTAACATTTCTTATTGTCTATATATTCTAATACTAAAAGCTATACTAATCCATTTACGGCTGACTTTTCTGTCTCTGAGCACTAGATGAAACTATGTAGAAGTGTTGTGGATTGCATTATCTTTGGGAATGTGGATCCAACAGCTACGTCTCAGCACGAAGGCGCTTTTGCAGTGGCAGCAGGATAAAATCTCTGCTCTGAGGA